TCGAGGGATCCGATGCTGGCGGAGCTGTTGAGGTAGGTGGCGGCGACGGTGGTCATGCCCCTGAGGGCGGCCTCGCGGGAGAGAGCGGGTTGCTGGTCGAGGCGGCCGACGAACTGGGGACCGAAGCTGGCGTGGGCGTTCTTGTTCTGGGGGTCGCCGGCGCGGGTGACGCCGACGGCGAGGGCGAGGAAGGGGTCGAGAGGGTCGACGGGCCAGTCTGAGCCGTAGGCGACGAGGGCGCCCGCCTTGCTGAGGAGACCGGAGGATTGGGCGACGGCCATGCGGTCGGTGCCGAGGACGAGCGAGTTGTCACCGGCCCAGTAGGTGGCCTTTTGCGCCCATTGGTACGAGGCAATGACGGGGATACCAAGTTCCTGGAAGCGGTTGCGGTCTTCGGCGGCGACGAGCTCGGCGTGGGCAATGCCGATGTCGTGGGGGGCAAAGGTGCGGTTCATGCCGGTGGCGATGTCGAGTATGGTGCGGACGGCCCTGTCACCGCTGGCGTGGACGTGGAGACCCATTCCGGCATCCAGAGTCAACGTGAGGAGTTTCTGAAGCTCGGTTTGGTTGGTGTTGGGAAGACCAAAGTGGTTGCCTGGGACCCAGTTGCCCTTGGAATCTTGGACGAGGTAGGGGTTGAGGAGCCAGCTGGACTCGGAGGAAGAAGGCAGAATGCCATCAATGAAGAACTTGACGTTGCGCCACTGTTGGCCTGGAGCGGCGACAAGAGCCTCATCCAACTGCTTCCTGCTTGCTACTGCTTGGCTGATGATTGTGGAGAAATCAGTGCTTCCGAAGATACCAAAGTTGTTGAAGACACGAGCAGTCAGCTCGTTGGTGGACTTGAGGCTAGACCAGGCTGTGTGTGGTGTCTGGAGTGCGTCCAAGAAGCTGGTGATACCCTTGCGGCGGAGTTGCGAGATGGCCGCAGTGGCAGCATCGAGCTGGGCAATGCCACGGTCTCCCATGAGAGCTCGGATGGGAACAACCGCGTTTTCCTCGAGCATACCAGTGAGGTCGCCCTTGGCGTCGCGTCCGATCCTACCGCCAGGAGGGTTAGGGGTGTCGCGGGTAGCATTAATGAGCTGGAGAGCTCTGGAATTAACGAAGATGTTGTGCTGGCTGGAAGCAATGATAGCAATTGGCCGGGTGGTGTTGAGTGAGTCGAGCATGGACTTGTTTGCTCCTCCGTTCAGGGTGGTGAATCCTTCACGGTCCCACTCAGTGACTGTCAAAAGGTCATTCTGGCCAGGCTGCGAGTCAATGCAGGCTTGAATGATCTTGCGGAGGCCCTCAGGAGAGAGCTGTTGGAAGCGCAGAGTACATCCAAGCATTGCTCGGCCAGCATCAAGGGGGTGGATATGGGCATCGATCAGGCCAGGGATCATTGATTTGCCGTTCAGGTTGACCACCTTGGTTGAAGCTCCAACAGCGGGCTTGCAGTCCTCCTCTTTACCAACGCATGTGATTGTGCCATTGGTGATGGCCAATGAACCTGCGGTGATGGTGTTGCTTTTGTCGTCAAGAGTGTGGATCACTCCATTTACAAACACTGTATCGGCGACAGGCAGTGAGGCAGCACGAGGAATTGTGCTACTCAGAGCCGATCCTGCCAAGCTGGCAAGCAAAAGGCCTTTGATGGCTTGGGACATGTTGATGGGATTGGAATGTCGAGTCGGTTATTATGAAAAGCAACGAGGAAAGCGAGCTGGCTGAAGAGAGGTGAGGGTGTTGAGAACGAGTGAAGATCAAAGCTGGATGCTGATGATGCTCCTCTAACTTGCAACCCATCATTAACTTATACATTTGCCCAGACTGCTACGAAAACAAGACATCGCCTTGGTGTCTGCACTGGCTCTCCTGCACTGTCCTGCGCGTATACTGTGTAGAGCGTTTACACGAGGGACGCTAAGCCTCACAAAGCACAGTATCCGAAACCCGCCAGGCAGGGCCTTGTAGCTACCCACACCGAAAGAATACGACGGTTACTATCTGCAGCGCCACATATCACCAGTGTTCCTTCAGGATATTGGGAAATGATAGTCGAGTGCGCAGCAATCGCATACGCAGCTATAGTATGCACAACTATACGGGGTAGCCCTATACGCTGCTATAGTGTCGCGTCGGGTTTCCTAAAACGGCTAGTCAACACTGGATGGTAAGGGCTTAGCTTGATGCGATAACGGACTTCCAGCCACATCCCTTGAAACCGATGAGGCTTGTCTCCCATACAAGCATCTTGCTGTGCCAAGTACTGTTGCACATTAGTGTAATTAAGGTGCAGCCTAGAACACCTAGTTTTGGATTGTTAAGGCTCCTAGAAGGTGATGATCAGAAGAGACTTGGACATTGAATCTGTGAGCGACTACGGCTAAGTCTATTTGGGTAATGCATCGGACCATATTTGCTGGGCCACAATTTTGACAGGTACACGACATACTTGGCTGACGAATACTGGCAGTCTTCGTGTGAGAATTCAAATCCTGCTTTCGCTTATTTAGGAAGGTGTCGTGCCTGTCAATCGACACTAGGAATGACCTTGGAAAGCCAGAAATGGCTCTCGCACCATGTCTGGAGATTGGTTCATGCGTCGGCGTCGGTCCGCGCACGTGCACCCGGCGCTGCCATGAATGTCGGCCTGTACCCATCAGCATTCTAGCCATTCGTCTTGTTTGGTCATACGCCAGACCCAGTCCCTCCCTGAATAGACGTCAACGTGGTAGTATGACTTGCATACGCACGAGGACCCACGTAATATCGGACTGTCTCCCGCCAAGCCGGAACCTATCAGACTGGACCCTTAGCGGGCGCCAAGCTGCGCAGCCAGGGATGTTACGTTGACATTACGAAGACAGCACTACGATGCATTGGGATCACCCTTGGTCGCCCACGTTAGGCTTTCCCTCCCAAGACAAGGTCAAGACATTATAAGGCGGTCGTGGTCTGGGCTTCAAAAATTTTAGAGAGAAAAATATACGCCGGTGTGCAAAGTAGAGGCTCAGATCTACCTATAGTGCCACTTTTACGCCCTACGAGGGCTAGCTGCGGACCAACACTCTATAAGTCGTACGAATATACCTGCCAAGGGCCAATGTTGATTGGATGGGCCGTATACCAAGACTTCAGTAAACAATCTGTAAAACACCAGTTGATGTAACCGGTGAAACTCATGTTTGTCCTATTCTCATAAATCGGGCAGATTATCGCATAAAATACAATATAGGAGCATTTCGGTCGCTACTTCAGAGGTCTTGGTAGCATTGCTACATTTTTGCCCCTGGTGAGCTTTTGAATTTGCGCAGGAAACGGGGAGAAACAGCAGGATCCCTGCTAATGCATCCCTGTCTCATATATCTCTTCCGTCAAGCCCATACTCTAGACAGCGGGCTATGAGAACACCAAGGATTTCCTTGTCCTGCTACCGCTTGCCCTGAAGATCATTGTTATGGACAATTGACTTTCCCCGTTGGTACCTGATGGACCTAGAAATTCAGGCACAGCGCATAACTGTCTGCATGGAACGTTTCTACGAAAATACTTTTGGCCTTATACCTTGCGGCTTTTAATCACTAGACGCAAGTGGCAGGACATCCGTCTCACTGACCAGTCTTGTGAACGTGTCGAAGTTGCGACGCATTTGCAAAACGCGATTTAACTCATGTCTGCATATATCGTCTTACGGCCATACACTAAAGAGACAAGAGGTCTCATATGACTTTCTGGTCAGGCGCCAGTATGTCACATAGGAATACATTTCAGTAGATTCTTAGCGTGCAGGTTTTGCGCCTCTTCATCTCCAAGTCTTGGTATCATGAACAGAGGTCTAGGCGAACCATATTAGATGATCATTTACTTACGTCAAAAAGTCTTGTGTAGGCAGTGTTAGAACGCCCAGGCCCTTCAGGTGATGTCCAGCCCGTAAGGCTAGTTTCCCGTCCGACAATTTAGGTCCGCATACCGTTTTTTCAGGCCATGTCCTAGCTGACAGATCCCTTGATAATCCTCTCATTCAGCCGCATTGGCCAAGATGAACATGATCACCCACGGATCGTTCTGGGTCTTCGCAACTACGTAAGTATGAGGATCTGTCGCGGCGTGCTGGCAATCCTGTCATCGGCCCGAAGTCACTACTTAGTGAGTCCGTGAAACCCAGCTAGTTGAATTCTTTAGGGCTCCTCCGTTACTTCCTCGACACCCGACTTGTATTGAAATTCGCCAAGACAACCGATGCATCGAGCCAAGTATACGCTCGGCTAATCTGCTCTTCCGAGCGTGGTACTATTAGTAGTGTTCCGGTGTAGCCGCAGGGTCGCACTCAACTTAGCGCATATGTCATCCTGCTGATATCCGACATGTTTAAATCGACAACAATTGGCGCTCAATTACCAAATGTGTATATGTTCCTTCTTTCATTTACGTTCATGAACCTAGTTATGACATCGACAATACTGAATCCTAACAAGCTCACATTAAAATTACTTTGATTTAATATAGAGGGAAACAGCTCTTGGTGACAGTAGCTTAGATGGAATTTGTACTGGATCACTGCTCTATCCAGAACAAAAGAAATGGAAATGAGCAAACTCAATTAGCCTCGTTTGTCTACGCGACACATTTTCTCTGCAAAATACTCAGGGTCAAAAATATCGAAGTCACCACTCTGCTTGCGGGACTATCCCTAGCCTCAACCAACATACCAAGAATAAATATACTCCTCCGTAGTTTCCCTACAATCACCCAAATCAATCCATCATCCAAAACCCCATGATATAACAAGTCTTACACCCCTAGTGCTTACACACCCCTACCCTCCTACCCGATGCCCGCTGATTGGTCTATGACATCATGCCCCTCCCCCCACTAACACAACAACACCAAACATTCTTATCATTGCCTCCCTCCGACCAGACCCTATTATTACAAATTCCCCACCCGCTTCCCTGACCCTCTGCTCCACCATCCCCATCAATCACCAAGAAAAAAAACACACACAATCCAAAATGGTCAAATGCCCAGAATGCGAAGCAAATGCCGATCTAACAAAAGACGGCGCATGGGCGCATTGCGCTTCTTGTACGTTCGCCTTCTTTTCCCCTCTACAAACTGCCAAATGGAAAATTTGGTCTTTTTTTGTTTTTGCTAAAACTATAGCAAAGGTAATACAATTTTCCAGCCAGGCAAAGAAGGGAGCCACTATCGCGGCGGGGGCAGCGGATCTGGCGATAAGGAAGAAACGAAAAAGGGCGAAAGTAGTAGTGAGAGTAAAGATGATGGGAAGGGGAATTAGTAATGGGGTTTGGAGAGGGGAGAGGGGATTACTTGCATATGCGGGAGATCGAAGGGAGGACGGTGGGGAGAGTGGGTGCGGGGAAGTTAGACGCGTCTGTGTTTCCCCTTCCCCCCATTTCTCAGATATATTTATTATCTTCCGAAATCTCGTTTTTCAAAATAAGAAAAAAAAAATCTCCAGCGCGAAGAAAGAGAGATAAATATCAGCAAGAACAAACACTTCATTATCTATTCCTACAAAAAAAATGCAAAACCCAAACATAGTCCTGTACGCGCCTCACACCGCCAAAATCGAAGATAAACCCATCCCCACCCTATCTTCACCTCACGACGTCGTTATTCGGATAAATTACATTGGCGTCTGCGGTAGTGATGTATTCCCCCCCCCCCTATCTTACCTCCTTTCTCTCCACCCACACTCCACCATCCCCCTCTAACCCAACCTCAAGGTCCACTTCTGGCACCACGCCTCCCTCGGACACCCCATAAACCCTTGCACAGGGATAACAATGGGCCACGAAGCCTCAGGCACAATCCACTCTGTCGGCCCCCTCGTAACCCGCGTCGCACCCGGCGACCGCGTAGCCCTCGAGCCCGGATCCCCCTGCCGCCTCTGCCAGGCCTGTAAATCCGGGTCGTACAATCTTTGTCGCAAGATGCGGTTTGCGGCGGCGCCGGGGAGCCCGGATACGCAGGGGACGCTGTGTAAATTTTACGTGTTGCCGCAGGATTTGGTGTACAAGATTCCCGAGGGGTTGGGGCTGGATGAGGCGGTGCTTGTGGAGCCGTTGGCGGTCGCGGTGCATAGTGTTAAGCTTGGGGATGTGAGGGTGGGAGAGACGGTGGTGGTGATGGGGGGTGGGACGGTGGGGTTGCTGTGTGCGGCTGTTGCGGCGAGGTTTGGGGCCATGAGGGTTGTTGTTGTGGATGTTATTGAGAAGAAATTGGAGTTTGCGAGGGGGTATTTGGGGTGTGAGACTTTTCTCGTAAAGGGGGAGAAGAGTGCGGAGGAGAGTGCGGAGGGGTTGTTAAAGACGTTTGGGTTGGGGGAGGAGAGTGTGGATACGGTTATTGAGGCTTCTGGGGCGGCGAAGAGTATTGAGGCGGGGATTTTGGTGTTGAGGCCTGGGGGCAAGTTTGTGCAGACGGGGTTGGGGAAGGCGAGGGTGGAGTTTCCGATCGTGGTGATGTCGCAGAAGGAGCTTATGGTTAGGGGGTGTTTTCGGTATGGACCTGGTGACTATGACTTGGCGATCCAGCTGTTAGATAAGGGGCTGGTTGATGTAAAGCCGCTTATCAGTTCCGTGACTCCCTTTGAACAGGCGACGGAAGCGTGGGAGAAGACGTCGAGGGGTGAGGGGATCAAGAATCTCATCCAAGGTGTGGTCTAGCTGTTTGCAGGATACTTGAAATATATCATATGGACCTGGGTATTACACGAGTCTTTTCATCTAGTCATCCTGTCTTCTCTTTCTCTTCTTTCCCGCATTGCTCTTCACCTCTCGCTCATCACCACCCTCTTTCGTAATTCCCGGCAGTGGAAAAACAAATGTCTCCATCTTCTCGCCATGAACAGCCCAAATACCATTGACCCAACCCAAATTTCTTAGGCAGCGATGTCGTCGGTCCCGGCCTTTTGTAACGCCAATATCATCGTATACATCAACCCTCAGACTCACCAGCCGCTCTTTGTCGTAGTCATGCCGACCGTTGTCGAAACTTGCAAAAACCTTTACTGGCTCGTCGTGAGGAAGATAACCAGTTGACTGACTGGTTCCCACATACTCCCCAGGCCGGATGAAAAGAGCGACCGGCTCTGCACCTGGAGGCGCGGACGCAAGTCGTGCAAGGCGAATCTCCTGCTTGTCTATAAGAGCTCGATAGATCGCATACATATTATCCAGTATGTAAGACGTGGATACATATCCTTCTCCTAGGCGCGGCGGGTGCTGGTCCAACTCGATATATCTACGCATATGATTGACAAGTGTATTATTCGGCCACGATCCGTCCAGCTTGTCTATAAGTATTCCAAGCACCTGGCAAGCAACGTCATCAAGTTTGCGCTTTCCAGTCTTCCGCTCGGGGGGCGACCAATTCACCGCGTCCAACTCCGTGAGAAGAAGTAGATCAGATCGAGTCCCCTCATTGTCTAATTGCTCGTCGGATAACAAGTCGAAAAGATATCCTTTCGTCTCGATTCCACGGTCCGTGATGATTGGCGATACAAAGCGACACCGATCGATAAAAGTTTGATGACGTATCCGACCCGGGGCGGTGAAAAGAGATTGGCAGGCGTTGAGGTATGACGGTAGTGTGTGGCTTAGAATGTTGGCTTCAGTAGGAAATTCAGATGAGCGATCAAGCAACGGCCATTTGACTGAAAGCCCTGGGACATTCTTAAATATTTCTCCATTCAGCAAGATGACGGTGAGAAGAGCGGCAGAGAGACTGTAGGTCCCAGATTCAATCAAAGGCGACCCCTCTCTAGTATTGAGCCGCTTCTTACTCTTCAAAGCGTTGGCGAGTATGGCGATCCTATCCGACTCTTTTTCTAAGCAGCGGCTACTAATGTCATCGAGTACGCTTGCAGTCGTAGTTGGGTACGAGTACATCTTAGAGGGGTCGGACTGCGTGCTGGACTTGCTAGCCTCACTACCGAAACTAGACTCGACATCCCAAGGACGCGGAACATACGGTTGTTGCGCTACAAATTCCACATTATGAATGATCTTGTTGCAAATGTTGTACTGCGTCACTTTTGCTAAGATCTCGGTACAGGGCCATCGCACTTCACCCGTGGTACACGCTCGACAAAACATCGTCACAGTTTGTCGGAAATCTTTGAGCTTTACCTGAAGCTCGCCTGGTATTTTCCCAAAGGGGTATTGACCGCTCTTTTCGAGGCGCGGATTATATGGGATGAGTAATACCATCTTTTGAGAAGCAAGATGGTCTTCTTGGAAGATCCAGCCGCGCGACCAGCGGGGATCGCTGAGAATGTGAAGAATTAGCATCTGCACGGCAGTGACATCAACTTCGGGTCGCAGTTTTAGATCGTCCTCATCGTTGGGATCGACAAAAAGAGATTTGGAAAGCAGATTGGAGAGCATATCGATTTCGCGTTGGTCTTGGATCTCGACAGTTAGTATGCCAACGGAATGCGTGCTATCACCGTAAACCATGTCCATGATCTGGACACCAAGCTCCTGGTCTTTCGGCGACGTGCGCTTGTCTTCCGGTCGTTGGTATATGCACTCTATGTCCACCCATAGTCTCGTCATCTTGACACTTTGTGCATATCGAACAACCCGATCCATGTAATGATCCGGAAATCCACTTTTGTGGGACTTTTTATCTGGCCGTTTGATCTGGTAGCGGAACACAGGCGGGTTCATAGTGCTAGAGACGGCTTTCGGGCGAGCCTGAGGCCATTTATAAGAGACGGCAATATACCTATCGCCATTGTCGTCTTCGCGTTTTGTTATAGGGACATCGTAGGATGGTGGTATTCGTTCAAAGAGCGGATCCTTCTCTTTTGACTGAGAGCAAAGACGTTCCTGCTTCAACCGTTCGGCCTGCAAGTCTGGAACTTTTGATATGTCAAGGAAGCGCAGGTTTTCTGCCCACTTTTCAGACTCCTTTCGGTCACATTGATACTTTTGAATCTCTAAAAGTTGATTACGGAATGCGTCAATGTCGTTATTGAAGATTTCGCCAAAGGTCTTGTGGAGGTCATTCTTCATTGCGATAGCGCGTGAGACAAGGGTGAATTATAGAAAAATTATGCGGTTGGTTGAGGGTAGAAGCGAAGGAGCGTATGCGGCTGAAACGCGTGCAAGCGCGTCTTCACGTGAAGGCTTGGCATCGCGCTGTCGTGACCGGATGCAAAGGGTCGGTCAATCAAAAGTAAGCATACTTTAGCTCGTGTAAGGACCGGCCCTGCATGAGTTTAAGAGCATACCTAGTGTCACATGAGACGTGTAGTGCATGTGAACAAGCAAAAAAGATGCAACCACATTCAAAGGTAAGGCTGTAGTTGGGCAGCAGTCGACGTTTGAAGATAATGCCCTTCGATGAGATATACAAATACATCTGCGTATCAAGTAAACAAAATTCGCACACATCCATCTACAACTTCGCCTTCGCATCCCCAACATTCGCCTTCTTCAGCACCGCCTCCAGCTTCGTCGCCTTCATCACATTGCCCTTGACCTTGAGCTTCCCACTCATAAACAGCTTCTGCGCATTCGCCTTGCCAACAACCAACTTGCCAAACTCCTCTTCAGGAAGTGTAAGCGTGACATCGGCTTTCTTTCCTGAGGGCGCAACACCCTCACCAACGGTACCGCTCTCCTTGAGGTCAATGTACCATTGTTTTTGCTCGCCGGCCTTGTTCTTGAGGTTGAAGGAGAAGATGGCGCCGCCGGTTTTGATGGCGTCTTTGCGCGCGGACTCGGTGGAGAGGGCGGCGGCGATGTGGTCGAAGGCGATGGAGGCGGGGAAGGCGTCTAGGGAGTGTTAGTTGTGTTCGGATGATAGGCTTGAGATGCGGGTATTTTCGTACCGTTCTTGAGAGACATGATGGTTGTGTATGTGTGTGTGTGTGCGTGTGTGTATGCGCGATGTGTTACGTTGTGTTTCCAGAAGCTCCAGGCTACTTGTTGTAGATGTTGATGGGTGGGCGCACAGAAAGCGAGCTGGGGGTGTGTGTGGAGAAGTGCAAAGGGGTGCACGGGGACAACGGATATATAAAGGCGTCTGAAAACTTGTGTGAGGGATGATGATGTGATTGTCCGCGAGCCGTGAATCCGGGGAAATGACCTCAAGCATGTGAATGCGATCAGCCAAGACCCCGTGGGACTTCATATGATCAATGCCGAGGCATTTCCGCTTTGGGGCTGAGCACGTGGATGCGGGTTCGGGAGCGCTAAACTGTGTATGGGGGTCCAGTAAGAACGTCTCGCATCTCTTGCCATTATTTGCATGGTAAGGTCCAGGGTGTACACGCTGTAAGAAGTGTATTATAGGGTTGATCGTGAAGCTTTCAATGAGATCCTATCCATCTGCTATTCGCGCTAAGCTAAATCAGGTAGGCGCCGTCACACCTGCGGTGTACTGAAGGCTCTACCTTCTACACATGCGGCCTTTCTCCCTCTCTAAAAGAAAAGAATCCCCTAGAACTTTGAAGACCGCTTTTGTATACAAATTAAATTCCCTTCAGTATTCTGATTTCTAGGAAGGAGTCTTCAAGTTTTAGCGCTAAAGAAGCCTTCTGAATTTCTCCTTCTTTGACCACTACACCAATGTTGAGCAAAGATACTGTATCTAGCTACTTAAGAGAACGATCATATAGTCAATACACTCAATCATAACACATGCGATGAATTTTGAGTTTGAGAACAACATCAAGACATGTTACAGAAGAATAAAAAAGACATCTTTCTATTCAAGAATCATACTGTCTATCAACGAGTCTTTTACGCAACCATGAAATCGTAAGCACATGTACATAGTCGTAAAGAGCCATCATCGTCATCATCATCATCTAAACATATGCGCACTTCAACAAACCACCAAAGAAACAAAACAAATAACAAAGGAAAGTCTAAAAACGATAGGACAGGTCAATCGACCAGAGTAAGAGAGGTGAGAGTCATGGCAAGGAAAGAGAACGAATGAAAAAGGGGAGAGAGGGAGAGGAATATACCATCATCAACATCAACACGCCATAACCGCCCCACCACCCTGCTTCCACCCCGAAAGATGCAGCAACCGCTTACTGCCACCCCAAAAGCTATCCTTATTACCAGGCGCCATACCACTCTTCTGCCTCGGTCTGCCCAACCACCTCGAAAGCGCATGCTCTCTCCTCTCCCGTCCACTCGCCATCTCAATCGCGCTCTCAACCTCCTGCATTAGATGCCCCATAATCCTCGGTTCAGGCGACGGCAGCGGTGGCGGCGCAGCAATCTCAACCGGAGACAGCATAATGGGGACATCCATGACTTCGTCTTTGTACTGCTTCCAGCTGTCGCTGCCGGAGATCCAGGTCAGGGGTTCGAGGGCAATGTCCCAGTCGCCCTCGCGGAGCTTGACGTCTTCAAAGTTGAATTCGCGGAGCGTGTTGTTGTGCTTGAGGATGAAGTCGGTGATTTGGTACGAGTCCATGATGGCGTTTTCGAGCTCCATGATGCGCAGGCGGGGGAAGGTGAGGGGGCGCGGACCGTTGGGGAGGGTGCGGAGGGAGGGGTGCTGGGTGCTTTGGTCTTGGGCGGGGAGCATGCAGGGCTCGAGGTCGAGGGATAGAGGAGAGGGCCCCCGCGCGCCTTTCCAGCGGAAGAAGACGCGGGTGAGGTTGCGTGAGAGGGTCGCGAGGTAGGCGTGTAGGATACGGAGGTGCTCTAGGGATTGAGTGCGGGTTCGGAGGGATGTGGATGCAAAGGGCACGCTCTCCATGCAGATGGCGAGCCGGCGGATTTGTCGCCAGCGCTTGGCGGACGATGGTGTGCTACCCAAGCCGTGCATGGGGTGGAGGTAGAGTAGGCCGCCTGGGTGAATGGGAAGAAGTGACAGGGCAGACAGGCTGTATAGTGGCGCGCGCTCAATGGCAATGCGCAGAGAGATGAGCGCGTAGTCTACAACACCACGGCGATGTCTATGTGCACCGCTAGATCCTGGGCACGAGACTTTGAGATGAGTAAGGTTAATGAGTTCGGAAAAGGCAGCGCAAAAAGCAGGAACGTTGGTAGCAGCATGGAACAGAGGCGGGTACTGCTTGATGAGCAGATCTTGCATCTCCCAGCTGCCGTACTTGGGTGCCTTGTCCTTGGCTGGACCACACTGAGGGACTTGGACTTGCGGCTCGTAGAGGAATTGCTTCTCTGTGCCAGTCAATGGGTCGATAATGGGTGGCAGGCAAGTTTCTGGGCTATGGGGCATGTAAAAGGTAAAGGTCTTGACATGGCGACCAATCCTTGAAAGCGCCTCCATGCGCGCAGGCTTGGTAAAGGTAGAAGTCTTGAACGTCACAGTCATCTTTTCGAAGAGTCGCGGTGCGGCCTTTGACGAAAAGTCGTGGCATACAAGGCGCAAATTGGCCAGGTCTTCCGACTCGACGCGGTTAAGTACATTTTCGCGACAGTCATCGTTCAGCCAGAAGCGCAAGAAGACGGAGCTCGTAGAGAGCACTAGGTTGCAGATGGAGCCATTGGATGGGATTGCTTTGGGTTGGTTAATATATGAATGAGTGCATGTCACAGCAGAGGCCTGCTTACATCTTCCATCAGCGCTCGTCACAGGGCTAAGTGGAATTTCACCAAATAGCAGCTTGGAGCTCGATCGCGACACAGTGGTGGCAGCGCTTCCATGACTGCCATGGCTGTTATGGCTTGCTCCTGAATTGGATCGCTTCAGCGGCGGGGGCGTTCGTCGCTGTGAGTACATTTTGGGTATAGTAAATGGTGTGGCATGCAAAAGCGGTTATCGATTGGATGCAAGGTTGTGTGTAAATCCGCTAGGGAATCAATCTCGTAGTGAATTTTAAGAATATTGTAAGAGTCGTGTCAAACATCCAGCATTCGAGCAAGGCAACAGACAAAAAAAAAGTAAAAAGTCCTCAGGGAACGAGACGAAAGTAAAGGGCCATGGCCTTCGTCGAAACGGTATTTACCTTCTCTGGCCATGTTGTAAAAAGCGGGGCGGGATCCACGCTACACGCGAGCATGCAAGTGTGAGTCAAAGATGGGTTTCCCGTAGGGGCCAGCGAGGTTGCCAGCAGATTTCCAGGAGTTAACGCAGAGTAGGCGAAGAATAGATGCGAAAACACGACTATGTCGCGGTGCGAGGACGTGTATATATGGTGTTTGACGCGACGATTCGACCAAGTGGTCGAGTGGACCTGCAGCCAAGGCCGGGCTTGAAACAAATGGAGCCGGGCGGCCAATGGGGGCAAGAGGCGAAAGAGACGGTACATGGAGCACTTGCAGTAGTCGTGCATGGTGTTGGCGGCCATGTCGAAGAAGCGGTGGCTGGGCATCTGTGACTGGCCCTCAGCCCTCGAGTGCGCGTGTAGGCCTGCTAGCCCATGGACAAGCCAGGCACGACGCGTCGGGTCGGCTCTGTTAGTGACCTGCACGTTGTCCTGGAGAAACGCGATTCGACCAAAGACGACAACAATAAACACCTTTTGGGAAGACTATTCGCTTTTGTTTCACGGACCGGGCCCCGTCAGAAACGTGGGATGCGAGGTTATCGATTGCTAGCCGGCAAGGCGCGAGACGAGGCCGAGGGGCCATGTGGCGTGGGCAGTGCAAGTGTCAACACCACGCCAGCCTTGCATTCTGTTGGCACCTGGCCCATACACGTCACATGACCCACCCCCTCGCCTTGTCAATCACGGTTGTTGTTGTCATTGCCAAAACACAACACACACATACACACATACACACACACACACACACACATAACACAACAAGATCGCGTAAATGCCTCGTGTGCATAGTGGCTTCTTGCCGCCATGCCACGGTGCCGTCTACATAGCCTCACCGGTCACACCCACCACCACACCCACCACACGTACCCCGCACCCTTCCAAAGGGGCCGTCCCGTCTGCAAAAAGAATCAAACACGGCACCCTCATGATTGGACACCAGCCTCGACATGCACCTCGCCAAATAAAGACACTGTTTCATTCTGCTCCACTTCCTCCCCCATGTTTCCACAGTGCCATTAACAAGAACAATTATTGGATACAAAGCCAAAACATATCCTCTGCTTCTCACCCTCCTGCATGTCCCCACTCTTGCTTCCGCTTTCCGCACGCGCTCCAGACCTCTGTCGCGGCCCAAGCATCTTCCTGGCCATTGTTTGGCCCTCTAGAACTGCTGCACTGTCGATCCGCGGCCGGACTCTCCCTTGTCCTGCCCACTGACCAGACCCCCCTCATCGTCTCTTTTCGTCCGCGAATCCAGACCCGCCCTCGGGCACAGGAGGTGGTTGGTAGCTACCCCGATACCCATTGATGGGCGGAAGGTCCTGTCCAACTGCGTCTTCGTAGCTCGGCGGTGCATCCTCGTATGATGGTGCATTTTGAGCCTGTACCGGCTGCCCGGCAAACGCGTTGTTGTTGTTGGCGAAGCCCACTTGTGGCGAGGGGGGAGTATGCAGAGCCTGTCCGTACTGCGGGATATGAAGTGTCGCCGGCTTTCCGGCTGCTTGTGCATTAAATCCAGCCTCTAGCAATGCTTTTGGAGGCGCAATGCCCGAGAACACCTTGACTGGCAATCTGAGCGGCAACACAATCAGTTGGTCCTCTCCATGCTTGTAGCTCCCATAGCCAAGACCAATCCGGACTTCCAACTCGTAGAAGCGAGACAGATTGCACGTGGTGAAACTGGGTGATACTGTATTGGGTACCGGCTTGCCAGACCAGTACTCGGGATTGATTGGAACTTCAGTGTCTATGGGGTCTGTTGGCGATCCTAGTGGTATCGCCATATTGCTGAAAGAACACAATATCCAGCTGTTCGATTCTGTACGCGCCACTTCGTGTGCTTTTACTCTTATATATCCAATCAACTCAACCTGCAGCATTTGCAGATATATGTTCTTGCTGCGGGGGCTGACATTCTTGATAAGCACTCGCAGCGGAAGGTCTTGATTGATTGTAAGAATTGCAGGGTTTGGCAGCCGTGCATCAAGAGCTACCCGTGGCCCCATATTGCCCGGCGGCTGTGCAGACCGCATGCTTGCCGAAGAACTCTTACGGTCCAGGAAGCTGGGCATCTTGCTTGCTGCTACGCTCATGGCATTCTCCAAGAACTCATGCTGCCTTCTTGCATATGCCTCGCCGTCTGTCCGCTCTGGCCGAGGGGGTTCAATCGGAAGAAACGTAAAGTTTGCAATTGCTCGGGGGTTCTCCTTGAAGAACGACGGCCTACTGACCGTCACCTTGACAAAGTAACGTATCTCGGCCTCGCCAGGGAAGCCACTCAAAGTGGGCGGCAGTGTAGCCTTGATGTGTTGTGTTGGTGTCTTTGCGAACTCGGGAATTGTATTTGAAAACGAAACGGTCGAGATTGGGTTGTTTGTTTGCTGACATTGCGTGTTCATAGGGAGCTGCGGTCAAGGTTAGTCCTTGCATGACTGTCATGGTACCATGGGCATGCAGCATCTTCGCACCTTGAATTGGAAGGGATATTCATATGCGCCAGCATTAATGGTGAAAGCTGATTTGGGATTGATATCTTCCGGGCGCACATTTGTTGGCCATACCAACAGCGTCTGGTATAGGAACTTGTGTATCTCTAAGACAGGCCTCTGCTTGTCGGGCCTGTTTGGATGTACGGGCGCCAGCAGCCGGGTCCTACTCTCGCCCTCGAGCTTGACGATAATGCTGCTGAGGTTTGTCGGATTCGGCACGCGCAAAGTGACTTTGCCTTGGATGACATCGAGATTGGTGTAGTGATCGTGCGGGTGCTCCAGCACGATGTTGACAATCATGTTGGGCGGAGGTATGCTGACCGGGTTGTCAGGATGATGCCCTCAGGTCAGGCTTCAACGTGTCGTGACGGTGCGCGGTGGGAAGGAAGTCGCAAACTTTATGGGGACAGGAGCAACATGTCAAGGTCAGAAACTAGACTGGTGGAGTGCAAGCCGAATCAAGTGCATTGGCGACATTTCTGATGCAGCGGCTAAGCCCAAATTACGCGTGTCACGTCTTGAATGCGTTTGTGATCACAGCCTGAAATATGTCGCAAAACGGATGCCTGCGGGGGTTCTTTTGGCAACCTCCCCGCAGACGTCATGGCGTGAGCTCTGCAGCGACAACACCACGGCAATGGCATACTTGCAGCCACCATATGTAACCAGATGTATCAATTATTCATCATATGTCTTGCCTGCTCCCCATTTTATCCATCCTCAACACATGGGCATCTCTCAAGGTGCCATTTTCCTATGCTGGATGACTTGCAGTATTACACAGCCCCATCTACAGCCGCAGTTCCGGCGGAAGCCAGCACCCCTGTCCGATTGCAGTATCGTACTTCGCCGCAGCAACGGACCCGTTTGCGGCTGATCCGGCAAGGGTAGGACGAAGTTTGTTCTTTTGGAACATCGGATTTCAAGTTGCCCAATGCCTTCGACTTGTGCAAACAAAATAGCCATAGCTATCGTTCCTGAATTGTGCCGATCAGCCGATGGCATTCCGTCTGCATGCTGTCGTATACAAGTGATTACAAGTCTTCCTTTGCTAGCATATCTAGAAAATGTCAACAAGAGCCTTAGGGTGATCCGACTATGGGCGGCCTACCGCAGATGTCAAGATAGAATGCAATAGCGTTGAAGCTAAAACATGGTCAATTTCACCTCAAACCAAAGACAAAATCGGTTGTGCATACTTGCGCTTGCTGCCGGTAAGCTCCCAAAAGAACCACTTCAAACGGTTCGTCCAGTTGATCAAGTCGAGATGGCTCACACCAATCAGCGTGCCTTTGTAATCGCCCCATCTGCTTGATTCTACACTTTTCAATTGCTTAGCCATTCTCCCATTGCTCAAGTCCATCTAGACATACCTAACCAACCCGTCATTTACACCCTCGATAGGCTTGATAATTGCATGTGACGGTGCAAATATGGACCACCGGCTGGGCTCCAAGGATGCGCCATACGAATAATACTTGACGTCAGGTACGTCAGGAGTCCTAGGGTTAAAGCTCGTCGTCATATATTCCCGTGTAAGCTGTGAGAACGCTCCAGTCTCAAGTCCAAAGTACTCCATGGCCTTGTAGATACGTTTAATCTGGCGAGCTGGCCAAGTCAGTACGTGGCTTCAAGGAGTGCTCATATACATACGACCGATGGTCTCAAACATGTAGTCTGCAAATGCCGAGCCTCTGTGAGGTGTTGCTATAGTGGTCAGAGAGAGGATCTTGAAATCCGTGGGTCGAAGACGGCTAATCATATATCGTGAATCAAGTCCTCTGTTGCAGCTTAGCATATGCTTCTTGGCCAAGAACGCATGTTGTTACCCCTAGCCAAACGTCAGTTATCGAATGCCATATCAATCGTTTGATGCCTCATACCATGCTATGTCTGCCATGCGTTAGCAACATATCCACTAGGGTCTTGATCTATACTTTCCACTTACGCAATGATATTGACTTGCTTGCCCTTGGCTTTGAGTGCGATGCTCTCTGCCAGTTTTGCTGATCTGTTCTCTATACTTCCACTTGGTGGAACAGCGGCGACAATGACTTCAATGCCTTTTTTTGCCAATGCATCTGTGATGCCTCGCCAGTACTGAATACCTGGTATGAATTGTCCTGCTAGGCGCAATTCATCAAACCCCAGCAGGCCATGAGCAAGGACTATAGTGTTTTTCTACCAGGGTCAGAAGAGCTGATGCAGGGTAGATCTGCATGCATACGGGAGCGTCTAGACGGCATTAGCTGCTGGTCCTTAGACTGACGAACGGGTTGCGCGGAAGTACCATATTTTTCGCGCAGCACAGCAAACTCATCTACGATTTCGCGACCAGCACCGGGTATGCGCGGATCTTCTTTGCGCCATTGCGAGCTACTGAACTGGCGACAATACGTAGAACTTGGTTTGGCAAGGACATGCAGCGGCCTAGATGCAGGAGAGCGCAAAGTCGCTCGAATACATATTCCAATCATCGGATCGTGCAGCGTGTTGAGTGGCAATGATGAGACGCGTTGAGGTTTGAGGTTGCACTCCATGTATGACGTAGGCGCATTAGCGAACGTGGGCCAGGGTCCGTGACAGCATGGAGAAGCTTATAGCTAAACATCTCAAAAGTATTGGTAGATGTTGGCGTATCGCATATTCCTTGCGGAAGCAACATGGCTTTCAAAACATGTGTGAGGGTCTTGCATTCCAAATGCGGCCATGAATCTGGGAACTTGGTTATAGGATCCAGACTACTGGGTACGCGCAGATAACCAAACACCGAAGGCACTGCTGATGTAATCATGGCAAACATGTGCACTTCATTTGGTACATGTTGGGGCTGTTCTCGTAGTGTCTCGTATATTGCATAGAAACTGGAAAGTATAGTTGAACCTTGGCGCTACAAGGTGCTGTACAGGAAACACCGCTTGCTACGCTGCTCAAAGTGCTTGATTCTTTGACAATAGATGCTTTTGATTACCCACTTGCATCTTCGAAGGACTGCCCGCCGCTACCCGTCCTTATTTCTTTGGTGGCTCTGGGTGTGCGCTGATGACAGCCTCAATCAACTGGTCAACGACCTTTCCGCCCGACTTGTTGCCAATCTCCTCAATCTCCTTGATCTTGGCATCAGTGTCCTTCTTTGCGTCCTCTTCGGCCTTTTGGTTGCCTGAGCTGTGCTGCACTATTGTCAGCATTCTGCATACCCCATACATATCGATATAACTAGAGTGCGTACCTCCTTCTCGAACTTCTGGTACTCGGCCTCCTTCTCGTTCCTGTAGTCGTCGATTTCCTTTTGCGCTTCGTTTCGGGCGTCCTTTACGCGCTTGGTGCGGTCTGGGCTGGTTAGAGCGGTGCCTTGGTGGGATGTATGCAGTCTGATTTACATTCTCTTGCTATTCCGATGTCAGCGATTGCTCCCGAAAGCTGTTTGTGAAAGCGACATACCTTGCTGGACGATCTTCTGAGCTTCACGCTCGGCCTATGTACCATGTAAGCTATGGTGGAGGTGATAGTGGGCTGCGCCGGCTTACATCGAGCAGGGTCTGGATACCCGCAGAGTTTTGGGCGGACTATGGAGGTCAGCATCTTCCGAGATATTTCGCGCCCTGGCTAGCTCACCATCTTGAGTATTTGTTTTGCGGAGTTGGTGGTTATGTCAAGGTAGAGTTGCGGAGAGGCATGATGCAGCCGGCAAGCTTGGCGGACGCTGCATTTGTGGTCCAAGCTCCTTGCCGCCTCAAGTTTCCTTTGCAACTTTTACGAATTTCAAAAAAGTGCCTTCGACCTCCACCTGCGCACCACTCGACGGCCTCTACAATGTCCCGGGCATCGCAAATCACATTGGCGACCACATGCGTTACTGCAGTCGGTATCGTCGCATTCGTGCACTGGTCGCAAAAGGCCGACAAAGCAGTCAGTACTGCCCGCATCCGGATGCAGCATGCAAATCAATTCTAACACTGATCAATCAGGCCATGCACATGGGAGTTGTGCGAGACTTTGAGCAACAAAGAATCAAGCGCGAACGTCAAGCCGATTTTGAGATGCAGCGAGAACTAGAACAAGAATACAGAAAATACCAGACGGTATCAGATGGCGGAGGACCCGAACCACGGCCAGACCAAGGACCCGGGCGATGATGCTTCACATGGCCACTTTACTGTACTGCCACCACTCCACTCCACTATAACTCCAACCCATGACTGAAGAGCATGTGGCTGCACCAGCCCCCATCATGCACCCTGATTGCGCCACCCTTTAATCCAGCGCATTGGACCGGCGTCAGCATAGCCTCACACTGGTTTATAAAACCAACATCGCGGAAGAACACGCTTAGGCGAGGGGGGCACAAGGTAACGCTCGGCATCGGACGCTATACCAATTGCCAATCAACAAGCTGCATTGTTTGTTTGGATGCTTCAAGACAACTTGTGTAACCCTGAAGCAACTGTGAAGTTGCGTCACAGTCGACCAAGCACAAGAAACAGGCGGCCAAGAGATAGACGAGTTGATATACAAAAAAAGTCAATGGTATGGTCACAGCGATCAAGTATCGCTTGGCGTTGGGCGCCCTGCGTGCTCTAGTGATTGCCTAGCCGTGCTTAAACACAACGTGCCAAGCGACCCCAACAATGACACCGCTCACCGGTACTTAGATTGGTTCCCTCGGCACACTGAATGAGGTCACCCCGCGGTACGCCCCGCGCACATTTGCACAGGAAACAGCGCTGATTGACTGGCGGAGACTGTCGTATCTACCGACCAGCAAAAAGACATGGAGGCGCAGTGACACAAATGCGCCTGAGCTGGCAGCCGTGATTTGTTGGCTGCTGCGCGGTGATGGTGTTTTGGCCACACGGTTCGGGTTGAAGTGTTGTCTTAGCGTTTAGATGAGGATCACCATGAGGTCATGCCAGACCCTAGATTATGTTCGGTGCATCACGTATTGCCTGCGTCAGTATACACAGTAAGGCTGCAAACGGCTGGGGAAACATGCATGTATACATTTGGACCTGTGTCCGAAACGGCTTTGCAGAATATGTATGTACATCGCCCAAGCTTTTTTTTTTTGCAACAAGGCTGCGCAGCCCTTCAGCTGGAGCTCGCTTGCGGCCTTATTCTGGCCCTTTTGGCCTTGGGTCACAAAGGCCAATTTGCACAGCTCATCAGCACAGGCAACACAAGTGAAATTAGCCTCGAGATTGGCGACATGCATTGCCACGATAAGTCAGGCATTCACGCCAAAATCGCCCGCCAAGCACGGCTAGAAGAAGGTGGCGCGGAACAGAGTTGGCTTCTTCCTTTGATGACGCACAGGCGCACTTGCTCATCCTCCAGGGTCCGCTTCCCTTGTCTACCTTACATTAAAGAACAACGCTTGCCTCTTTGACTTTGCCCATTCACGTATATACCTAACATATCTATCTCTTCCCTTCCCTCCTCCCGTGTCCCAAACTCCGACACAAACTTCAAGCAGCAAGCCTCTATACCTTGCTCTATATCACTACCTACCTGCTTGGTAGTCTTGGCATCCTTGGTTTAAATACTCCGGCCTGACATCTTAGTGTCGCACATTACACACGCCGCCACCCCGTACCACAGTTCCATATCGACTTCGTTATGAAGGCCTCACAGTTTATCGCCTACCTATTGGCATCGCAAGCAATCAGCGCTGCTTCTCTACCTGAATTTAACAATGCGCTCAATATCCTCGAAGACCGCCGCGTCGTTCCTGCATCGGAAGTCGTCTCCCCAGACCACACGCTAGAGCGTCGCAAGGGCGGCGGTGGACGTGGCGGAGGCAGCAGTGGAGGCAGCAGCAGCGGTGGCAGCAGTAGCGGTGGCAGTGGTAGTAGTAACAGCGGTGGAGGCCGAGGTAGCAGCAGTGGCGGCAGCGGCAGCAGCGGACGAGCCTCTCCCACATCCAACACCGGCGGCTCTACAAGCACAGGCTCGGGCCCATCACGCTCATTCGGCGGAGGACGATACTACGGCGGCGGCGCTGCCGTACCTTACTCCGCCGGAAAAAAGACTCCAAAGGGTCTTTCACCCGGTCTCTTGCTTGCGCCCGCAGCAATCCTCCTCATCATGCCCGGTCTCTGGCTCTACAGCGTTTACCCATACCACTACAGCAACCCCTACCGCTTCTACAACCAGTCCGCTACCGATGATGATGACAACGACAGAAAGAGGTCGCTCTGGACCCGCCAGACACAGGGTCGCAATGAGACGCTACCTGTTATGTGTCTTTGCCAGGAGTTCAGCGTTTGCGGCTGTGACGAAAACGACGACCAGCAGTACCTTGATGATCTGGTTGGCAACGGAAGCTACGCTGCGCTCAACAAGTCGCTCATCACTGTTTCTGATGTCAATGGCACTAAGACACTCGTCCTCAATGGTACTCTTCCCAATGGCACCACGGCGCCTGGCGGTGAGGGTGCGGCTGCTAGCTTGACAGTTGGCAACCTTGCTGGCTACTACGCTGTTGCTCTGCTCGTTATTGCTGGCGTCATGCTGTAAACTCGATATTTCCCATGGAAATTCGACATCACAGTTGCCTTTTTTATTGTTTTTTTTTCTTTCACTTCATTTCATGACCGACAACCCCCTCTGTACTTTTATAACGAATTTATGATTCTCTGGACGCTATAGCCGCGTTGTTTGGGCCCCCAAACGATCTTTCTTGGTCTGGACTGGTCGGTTCCATGGGACCTGGGGTCCGTAAATGGGCTTGAATTATACCCTTGTGCTGTGTTCTCTTGTTACCTCTTGGTTAGTTTAATGCGGTGGAGGGATTATATTACTCTTGTATAGAATTAGTACTCAAACTATCACCCTCAATCTTGTGTTTACTTTTGGTGTGAAGATCATTCCACAATTCCATAATCAGACTTGCCTTATTGATATCTGACTGGGGCTATTAGTTGTATTGTTCAATTGTTTTCTTGACTGGCCGTGACATGTATAAGCCCACATTGAGTTGGAAGGGATGGCGTGCTTGCGGAAAATTGCAAGTAAACAAGTAAATAATTACCGCTCTTGGTGATGTGCACAAGAAGTGATGAACGTTGTGTTAGGCGCTTCTTTTCTTTGGTGCTCAGTTAGCGATTATGAACGAACCCCATTATATGCCAATGGTTGTATAGTGAGATGCGTTCATTTGTCGCTTTACTGGTCATTCCTCGGGTCGTCTTGCTGGTCATTTGTAGACTTCGCTTTGTTGGTTGTGTGGGTGGACGTGTAGGTCCAATATTGAAAGATGAGACTGAAGATATTCTTTGTGGGCACGCAATTGAATGGTCTAGAGAGTTAAAATATGTCAGTGATTCAAAAGGGAAAATAAAAAAATACATGGGTTGGCGACCTAGATATAAAGTAGCAGTGTCGTGCTGTCACAGCTTCTCTTGACAAGAAAGGAGGAATGCTTGATGGTTCTTCGAGGAATTTCATAAAGCCCAAGTGATGGGAATAAAACGTACATTGAAAGTAAAGCAGTTACGCGTATTCAGTAATGAATAATAAATCACCGTACCACTGTTCGACGACTATCAACGTAAAGAAAATGCGAGCTTTGCTGTTTGCATGACGTAGTGGGAGTTGAGTGAATTTGGTGATGTTGAATAAAGGCGGTGTGCATTGCAAGCTATTCCCGTAAGCCTGTGTGCACATTCATCGGTCACTGATGCTGGCGATAGTCGTACGAGTCGTGCAAGCCCACATTTTACTCAGATTCCGGTGAGTGCAAAGCAGTGCAGTATCGGTATGGGAAATCAACCCGAGGGAGTACGCCTCGTTACTAATTCTAAGTGCGCTGGCCTCTAGTCATAGCTAGGGAGACTGGACTTGGAGTGTCCTGCATACCATGCAGGTCAGCTGACGTAGTGGAGAGTTGCCTTGACCTGAAGTACCATATGTAACGTGTGCTGATTAGGGTAACTTGTCGCGAAGTCTAGTTTCGAAAACATTCTTCAAATATTGAGTACGTGTTATCGGAATGTGATAGGACGCCTTTCCTGACAAAAGAATACGACGATGCTATTGCTGCATTGTCATCTCGGGTGGCGTCTTGCGCCTTGGCGTATTGGTAATCGTGTTGGCATGATCTGCCACATTGGCGCTGCAACCAACCACGATTCGGAGGTTGCGAAGGCCATGGTGTGTGTGGGGGGGGGGGGGAGATGCCGCATATTTGCTCGTAGCAGTAAATCGGCACGCATCTCGCAGAGTGCAACAACCAATCAAGAACCAGCACTTGCCGATGGCATTGCTGATTCATAGCCGACATAGGCAGTGTTTTATGTGCAGGTTGTGGTGCCAGTTTGTTTTATGTCTTATATCCGCACATTGACGTAACTTTCGGCTGTCCATTTCTCTGACACGAGTTGATTGTGGCTCAAAAGCCAACTAAAGAGCCTCAGTGAACATCCCGTGTTGACACGGTATTTTCATGTCAAAAACCCATCAACATGACTCGAATCTTAGGTGAGTACAAGCGCATTTGGAGCGTCTTCCTCCCTCCATACTTTTATTAGGAACGGAGCTAAAGAGGCTTATGCCCCTGATGACTCGAAGAGAATGTCTTCTGAAAGAGGTAAATTTATCCTCTGACTAGGATGCCCGCAAGGGTTAATTCCCTTGGCGAGGTATAGAAAATAGATAGGCTGGCGTCTGCAAGGACATCGCCGATAGGCGTCTATGTTTCGACGTAGGCAGTGCTGCGTAAGACTGGCATACCGCCACCACGTGATGGCAGATGACGGGATGGTGCATAGGGCTGCATGTTGCCCACAGGCGGAACTGCGCCGGTGGCGGTGATTTCAGCCCTAAGACGATTCCCGATGTTCTGATGGAGCGATCGGCAAACAGCGATGGATTACCGGCCTGTTGTGCTAGTTGTGGCGAAGCGATGGGATGTTGGCGAGAGGCCCACATGAGGCAGTACCAGCGGTGTACCTGCCTGGCAGCCATGTGTTTATGATACCGTTTACCAGACGACGAATACAGAAACTTACTCAATGATAGTATGAATCGCCGTCGAACTAAAGAGTGAGATGAGCCGCTATGGTAGACTCTTGAAATAGATGTGCTGCCTATGTGGATGCGCAACGTACGGTGATGTGCAGATGCGCAAGCCCATAGGCAGCACTCAGCTGGTCAGCTCGAAGCTCCAGATGGTATGGGAGGTCCATGCACTTCGTGGGGGTGGTGGGAGAGGAAGGGGTTTTGTGGCATCGTAGAGAATGGAAGTTGACCACATAGTATGCATGGCATCGACGAAGAACTGGGCCATACTCGGTATGGTCCGAAGGTTGGAAGAGGGCAGAAGCTCCAGATACGTACGTTAGTAATGCCCCACTACTACTATTATGTAGGTGTCGGCCTCCTTGGCGGCCGTCAAACCGGTTCTCTTCCACGCCCATGCACGACGTTGAACCCCCAACCTTGACAACCCACGTCTGCGGGCAGACGACGGCCTCCCTCGCACAATGGACCTCAAAAGTGATTCTGGCTTCACCGGACATATCAATCGCAGCCGAACAGCCCGGCGCCTGCTCATGGCGCGCGACATGTCCGACCAAGCACTCTACGTCACTGGCCTCCTGTTCGCACCCATGACCAGCACGCTATGTCAAAACATGTAGCTGACCCTGGCTGTCCAGGCTGTCAGATACAAGGTCACGCACAGATCGTTATTCTAGTGTCGACACTCTACGAACCAGCTTGATGCGGCCCTGCAAGCTACCCTTTGATGGCTAGTACGGTCTGTGCATTGCAGGGGGTTCCGCCGCCCCCATGTGCAATCACTATCTCCGTTCACGCTTGTCCGCCTTTTTGCTTTGCTGCGCTCCTTGGCCATCATTTGGTGAAATGCTGAGCAATTCGGAGTCCATCACATGGTCTCAGCCACGGGCCAATGATGTTCAGAGGCGCACAATCACTACCAGCTGAAAGACTCCAACAGCCGACCTCTCAAACCCCTGCCCTATCCAAACACCCAGGCTTTCCTGCCAGTCCGACAAGCCAATGGCCAAAACGGTTTGCTAGCTACCTTTGAGAATCCCGTTGGAGCGTCTTCCGGCTGACTGCGCACTTGTCCTTACCCGTCCTTTCCGTTTGCATAGCCGACATGACATGCAGCAAGTTGACGATGCATCCGCAGTATGACCCACACTCTGCTTCATAGTCTACATTGTCGCCTTACATCCTGCTATATATGCCTCTGTCGCCTGATCGAGTCAGAAATCACTCCAAACACCGTTTTACCCTCAATACCAATCTCTTTATTGTTTTGCTTGCGTTCAAGCCGTTCCTTCAAAAGCTGCTTTCGATTTCAGACACCGAGAAAAGAATCCATCGTCACGCACGGTCCCAAGAATGTGCTATCAAGTCGTCGAACGCTACTCGGTTTGCCGATGTCTATACTACAAACACGCCATCGATCCGTGTGTTGCTCATGGCCAGCGAGGGCATATGGTCCAGGAAAAGACGGTTCTTGTAGGCTATGCTTGCAATACACATAGTAGCCACCGACCCAACATCGTTTACCATGCTGCTGTTCATCCAGATTCTGGCTACAGAAGCAGTTCATGTTCTTTTGGTCCGTTACGGTGAGAGAGAGAGAGAGCAACATAATTTCAATACTGGTCCGAGAACGGCCATAGAAATCCTTCTAAAAATATCGTCTACCAACGCGCTCGGCTCCTTGGCCTCTTCGAGCTGGCCACTCGGCGCCAACTCCCACAGCACTGTTACTTCGCGTCTCTTTGTACACTTAGGAATACATGCATCGTCACGGAGTTATCTACAGTCATGACATGATCATGACAGGTCAAATGTATGAATACGATGGACAGTTGGCGTTTGGATTGGGCTGTAACATACATCAGGAGGATTTGGAAGCTTTTTTTTCTTCACAAATATCTTGCTGGCACTAGGAGAATCATGGATGGTAAACCCACTCCACTTACTTAGTCACTGTCGCTACTAGCATCATAGCGTTGGTTCCAATATCGCTACATTGTTCTTACAACTCGCCCAAATCTGCCTTGCGCGGGATGACAGCACGCTATTCCTAAACGGAAAAAATCTCCGTGCCTAGTTCTGACACTCTGGATGACCCAAGGTGCGAGTGTGCTGCAGACTAACCAGATGTTATCCAACTGAAGTATCATGAAGGTTGACGGGCGCATGAAAAGTTCACTAGACGTCATCTTGGCCAAGCAGGCCCACCCTTGAGGCACGTGCGCGTACTACGTTACCGCCTCTTGCCGTACCAAACATCCTTCCAGACCCTTACCACTCGCCCGTTTCGTCGGTGTGAGAAGCGCCACCTCCCACTCCACGTTTCTACTAAATCACGTAACAATCTCTCGCTACTCCACATGTCGACCTTGTCCCGTCTCCACTGGACCGTTTACTCGCGCTTCGGCCTTTTCCGAATCTGCCGGTGAACGACCTTCGGCATCTCCATGGCTCGGCCGTTCAGCTTACATACGTCCTTACATACTAGCTGTGGCGCCAGGACTAACTTGGGCGCATACGCATAGGTATACGCAAGCGCACATGTCATTCGCCTTGACAACGTATCTACAAACCTTCCGTTGCTCCGTTGCTGCTGAGAGTTTCGGTCGACTCGTATCTCCGAAAACGCGAAGATACGGTGAAACCATATCCTTCTCTGCCCGCGAGGGTGGCAGGTCGACCACCTCGAAAGACCAGGTATCCACATGACTTCCTATATTTAGGAGCAGGGGTGGTGTGGCTGTTCCAAGGTCATAGCTCAAGAGCTAGGCATCCAATCCTCCTGGCTCATGGTTGGTGGTCCCTCTTGTTACTCACCTGCTGGCTAGACCTCGAATGTTGCTGTTACTGCAATCTTTGCGTGCCAATCAGGAATCTAGATCTCGTTGTTCAAAGCCCACTGCCCCCTCGAACTCGCAACATGTCGATATCTTTTGCCTTTTGATTCTTGACCGGCTGCCTAGCCCTGTTCACTTCCCTATCAGCCTTCAAGCCCAAACCAATTACTGGCAAAGAACCTTTGACCGGCCTGAGGCTCTAATGAACCACCGCTTTCCTTTTTCATACTGCCACAGCCTCGCTGTATAAGGCTGAGCATGTCATTTCCGCATTTGGTAATAGTACAAGCTGGTCCCGAGAAGTATCCTAACAGTCGGTACCGAGCAGCACAGCCAGCTTTGTGGGCCTGGACCGACGGTTTCAAATCGATTGCCCGGAGATGGCACGGCACGACGGGTTGCGGGTCCACGGTCCGGCATAGTGTATCGTCTCCAGCTCGTCGGCAGCCAAAGCTGCAAGGGCCCCTGTGTCAGCCTTGTCAGCCTTATGACCTTGTAGCCTTCCTCTTTGATATAACTAGTTCCTCCTCGTTGCTGTACTAGTTCTTCCAAGAAAACTCGCTAAAACACCAGTGCTGTAATCTGATTGGGAGAGAAGTAAGCAGTAAAACTCTAGGAGCATTCCATGCCTTATCGCCCTAGGAAATACAACCCACTTCTGTCCATACTCCCGAGAGGGTGGTTACCCCTTTAAAGACTCGCTTAGAGCCATGTGGAAATCCTTACCTTGGTATTCGTTATATCCCTCAAATGAAGCCCCCAGAACCACGAGTAGACCATATAGCAAATTACACTGGACAGTATCATCGCCACTAGACTCTATGCCCAGGCGTACACTCGGAGTGAAGATATTCCCACAAATCGCATTAGTTATCTCTATCAGACACATCTCTCAGGAAGCTCTTTTTTGCCACCAAATTCGCCGCCGCCCCCTCATAAAACCACGTGACTCTCACACATTCCAAGGCGAGACAATCTACACGTATATTTTATCAGAAACACTTCTTCCCAAAACAAACCTCACAGCATTGACTCACCTACACACCTTACCCTCCACATAACCCTTCCCCATCTTCCATTCTCGCACCAAAGCTAAGCTTGCAGACATTCCTTCTCACCACCCAGATACACGCTACACAGTCTACCAGCAAAACCCATGACCACATCTCCACAAACCAAAAAAAATGAAGAAACCAAAAAAAAGAAAAGAAAAGATATATAGAGCCGCTGTGTGTTGCGGCTACCTCGCTGGTTGATCGATGTACTACACATTTACGGTGAAATTGGTCGAGATCAGCTTTCTTAGGGGAGGGAGCGGGGCGCAGAAGTGCCCAAGTTGGATTACAATCGGGTCTTTTATAAGTAAAGATATATACTAAGAGAGAGAGTTTGTGGGAATTAGTTTCTCTCCTTTTTTTTATTCTCTTTCTCGGGAAGGGGAGAGAGAGAATGTGTGCGAATGGGTGTTTATTCCCTAGTATATATGAAAGGGTATGGGGGTATTTATCCCTATTTCAAATTGTCGTCATCGTTGTCGTAGTGATGAATAGCAGTGCAGACGGTAGTTTGGCGCATCGTATCCGAATAGCGTCTCGTGCAAGTGACTCTCCTGATAGTTATTCCAAAGCCATTCAGTATGAAACCATCCGATCAAAACATCACTGAGCAGGCAAAGAAGGAGAGCAGTATTTATTTTCCGCGCACGAGGCCCATGCGAATTCATAGATTGGCATAAGTAGTAGTAAAATCTACATGGAGCGTGCATTGGCACATTTTGAACATCTGGTCTGGGAGTCGTTACAGGATGTTCGGTTGAAACAAGATAAGCTTGTCGGTAAATCATAAGCCATGAGTGAAAAAAGGAGTGCTCGTACATATTCCCCCAGTCGGGAAACAGCAGCGAAAAAAAACTAGAAGAACCAAGTCCGTCGTAGAAAGCGCATCCATTAGAATAAGTGAGCGGAAAGCCGAACCTCGAGGTAAAGAGGTTACGACGGTGATGAACAAGAAAGAGAAAGAAAGGGTCGTTATCATAATATTCACAGAAAAGAAGGTTGGTTGTGTTTTCCCTGTCGCACAAGGTGGCGAAGGAAGAAACAGGGAAAATGGCTGTCCAGGGGAGGCGGGCAGAGAAGAAGGCGCTTAGGCGCGGATGACGACACCCTGGCGGCGGGTGGTCTTCTCCTCGTACACGTACTCGTCTTCGGAGGAGCATTCGGAAGAGTCGTCGGAGTATCCGCAGCGCGCACCACCACAGTCGAGCTTGACGCGGTCACCAGCGCGGGTGATGCCGTAGCGTTCGCACGTGCAGCATGAGCTTCCAGAGCTGATACTGGACGGGCTAGAGCTGTTGGTGGAGCGGCTGGTGAGTGAGGGAACGTCGGAGTCTTCGTCGGAGCTGTACTCGGAGTCGTCGGATGACTCTTCGATCTTCTGGGTGGCAAAGCGGCGGTTGAGCTCCTCCAAGGTGGTCTTGTCGTACTGCGTGTTGATGACTTGGCGGGTCTCGTGTGGTCGTTGGGGCTTGGGTGCGACGATGCGCTCTGGGCTGAGGCCACGGCCCTTGGGGATGGAAGCGGTGGATACACGGCGCGACTTGCGGTCGGCGCTGGATGAGGATGACTTTGAGCTCGACTTGGCAGCGGGAATGTCGATGATGTTGAGCTTGCGGCCAGTGGTGGGTTCGGTCGTGTGGTCCTTGGCGGGGTCGTGGGAGACGTGGTAGCCGTCGATGATGTACTAGGAAGACGTTAGCCTCGGAGGGAAGAGTGGTTACCACGAGGATAGACATACGTAGTACCAGTAGCGCTGTCCCTGCTTCAAAGTCTGTCCTTGGAACTTGAAGCATCCGACCCAGCCACCAGACTTCTTGGGGTCCTTGGAAAGCGGAAGTTGGCCTTGGTAGCCATCCCAGGAGCCGAGAAGATGTACGGTCTTGCAGTTGGCGGAAGTGCGGAGAGTGAAGTTGAGCTGGATAGCGGCCATTGTGATGTTATCTCTTTCTTTCTGTGTAGAAAACTTGTATTATGATGTAATTTTTTTCTTTCGATTCGTCCGATACCAAGCTAATGGATAGACGTCAAGATTGCTAAGGAGGCTGTGTGTGTGTATGTCGAGGATCTCGCTAAGGGTTGCGAGGTTGTGTTGTCGGTGTGATTTGGAAGTTCGTTTCGAGCAAGTAGAGCTGAGTATTACGTTGGGGTGGACCGGCCACAAGGAATTGAATTATTGCAAAAAATGGGGGAATGGGTAAAACGGGTTGTCGGTAGTGTAGTGATTAGATGGCACCAGGCCTGAGTAGAGTAGGTAGGAGGAAGAAGGGGGAGGGGTAAAAAAGAATAGACAAAAAACGAACACAACAACTCTGAACTTGACACACTTGCTGAAGAAAAAAAAGACGAGATGGGAGCGGCTCCAGGCCTACTTATGTATAGAAGATGCATCACACAGAAGCCGGGCGACGATTGGGCGTTGACGAGGGGCTGACGGGCGGACATTGGACTAGGCCGCGTACGGGTCAGGCATGGGTGGATCCGGTAGCGATTGATTGATTGCGCAGTGTAGCCACGCCATCTGGGCAGGGTGCAGGCCGGTAGCGGGTGTGGAGAGCAGTCTATCGAATGTACGGCGAGCGCTTGACGGTGTTGCGGGAGTGGTTGATGGCTTTGATGTGTGTAGCCGGGCGTCATTGTTCTGTGCGCTGAGTGGCCAATGTGGGCGGGGAATACACGGGTGGGTCGTCACGCAGCGCACGGACCTGGGATGAAAACATGCGGCCAATCAGCAGCGACTGTGCCTCTACCATGTGATGTCGGGATGTGCGGCCTGCAGACAAGTTTCTCTTCACACTGCATGATGGACGGGCGAACTGAGCAGAAGACGGATGCAGACAAATTTGCTTCCCAGGATTCTGCCTTGACCAGCCTGCAGCATCTCCTCTCTGCCGCATACAGACCTATTTACAGACATTATCGGCCCATATGCCCCGCCCTCTCCAATGGCATTCCTTTCACCATGTCCGGCTCATCACCAAATATCCCCAATTGGGAACATGGGCGGCTAATAATCTTTAGTGGCTTGTCGTCCCATCCAACCACAGCTGCCCATCACCAACTTCGCCCAACTGCATCGTAAGCCACTTTCGTGGTCACACCTGAGGCCTTAACCTCCGGCATATCGTCATAACATGCAGCCCGTGTGCGCACGCGGCCTCATAAGCTTCGCTAAACAGACATGTCGGGAGAATAACCTACAGGGGGACACATACGCGATGTGGTGGGGCACCACTTTCAATATCAGGTACGCAAAGGCACAAAGTCTCGAAAGCCTCGCAATTTGAATACTGCCAATGAGGTGCAACAACAAGGCCGCATGTCGCCTAGCCCTCGTACCACCAAAGCCCCTTTCTCTACCCTCTATGCCATCATCCATGTCCTGCTGCCATCTCTTTCTTGACTCTAATGTCTTGCGCACATATACATGCCCGAGTCTTTTAGGCCCGCAGTGTTCTAGTGATGTTAGACTCGATAACGGCCAACATGGCCCAGGCGTGCATACAGGCGTACATACGCGCCCGCTCTCGGTGCGTGAACCCCCCAGGTGCACCGTTAGTGACAGTGCACCAATGAGAAGGAGCAGTAGTCATGCATACCAGCCATCCCACCGACTAGTCTCTCAACATGCTCATGACAATGATTGCATCGTGACATGCCACCACTTTGGCCATAATATAGCAGTGCCAAAATCAGGCAACTATCTGCTCCGCTGCAATTAAAAAAATAAATCAAGATGATAGTAGTACACACACACAC